TTGGCCACGTGGTCACCGCCGCTCCACAGATGTCGTTCGATCTGCGCCGCTTTTGAATTACGAATTTCCCGCCACTCGCACTCTGCACTTCCGGCCGACACCCGAGCGACCCGGCGCCGATTTTTCGCGCGCGGCTCGACGAATTTTTCTGGAGAACGATCGAAAATGGCCGGAGAGCGGCGAGGTCGACGTTGAAATCTCGTGAAACTGCGATCGCGTTGCCAACGAGCGTACCGAGCAGCGAGCTTGCCCAGTGACGTCAACGCACCTTCCTCGCCCGCCTTTATCCCTACCCACTTCGCTCTTACCTAGCCTTTTCCTCCTACTTCTCAACGAGATCGAGGATCGTTGATCAGCATTGAGTCACGTACACATTCACGAACGTCTTGCCTGACAACCTGTGGCGTTGCTCATCTTCGCTTCGTTCGCCAGGCTTGGTCCTTGCCGCTCTTTGTCACGCACTGTGTCTCTTTTTACACGCTCCCGCTACTATTTCCCGCCATTTTGTTCTCCATTTTTGCCCATTTTCTCGCCCGCCGTTCGAACACGGATCTCGCCAAGAGATGAGCGTAGTCTTCGAAACTTTGCGCGGACTTTGGAGGGTCACGGATGGCCAGAAGAAAAGGTGTCGATTCGTCAGTCAGGCTCGATTGTAAACAAGCCTTGACGAGCTTATGAGAATTCATAGAAGCAATATTCAGGCGTCGCATTCGGTTGGTACAGATGTTGCGCATATTCGATGAGATTTAAACAGGCGGACCGTGAATGTTGATTCAGACATTGGGTTTTTCGGTATACACTGATCGAGCAATACTGTCACACTGTTTTCCAAGGTACAGTGAATCATCGATAACCGATAAATGTGCCTTTTCATTCACGATATGTTTTTGAGAGTATGGAAGCAACAATTATTGCACTTCTTGCCATGATCTGCCTCGAGGGAAGACTTAAATCATCGATGATCGTCGAATCATCTCACCCCTGTCATTTACGATCACTCTTATCTTTTAATTCCTTTTTAAATTCCTCAGTTTCCGAGTCACCGCTTAAAAGTCACTAAAAATTACCACGAGAGTCTAATACAGATCAGTGTAGGTTAATTCCAGGCTCGTTAAATCACTCGGTTAAATCGCCATAAGCGACACATCGTCTGAAATAAAGCAAGGATTATCGACGTGGCAACGTGATCCATCGAATCGTCGAATCGCTATCGTCATTGGCCCACTGAATTTCGACCGTGCAAGCCACTTTCCGACAATGGTTCCCATCTATTATTTCATTCGCATAACATGCTCGTTAGTTAATTTTTCGTTGATCGCGAGATCGTTTCGCGAGCAGAGCACGTGCGTCCACGGTGCATCGGCTTGTGTGCACACCGTACACGCTAATGCGCACTAACAGGGTCCAGTGTGTACACTGGTATCCACTAATAGGGGACACACTTCGCCGTGATAATAACCAATTACGTCAACGAGGCCGGAGGGCACGACCGTGACGTTTCGACGAGTACCACGAGTACTTCGACGACCAGTGGTCATCATGCGATCCGATCCATCGAGATCTCGTCGACACCGCTAGATCCGTCTCCAGATTTCGCTACCCGAACACGATATAGTTACTCGGATCGAGACGCAGGGATCACGAATATCTAACTCGAGTTTCGAGCTAGATAGTACTCGGATGATTAATCACCCTAGTCCAGGGGAGTTCCAAGTTCCCTGGGTTTCCAAATCCAAAAGCTATCGACTGTCACGTAGGTTCACGATACCCAATGCGCTATAGAGACTCTAAGACTCAGGATGACCGTTACCTCACGAATAAATTAGGTTTTCAAAGTCTGTATTTAGAGAACACTTTCGCGCTGGTTCCTATGACTGACTCACGATTCGATGAAATTACGAACGTATTCAAATTTCTTGGACAGCTGATTCACTATCAAACGAAGCCCACGTGAGGATCGGTAAGCAACGTTTGAATCAGGCATAATTATACGCGTCCATCTCTGAGATTATGAGCCCGACGTCACTCATTCACGAGCGTGTTCCAGGGATTCGTCGTTTTCCTGCGATTTTTTCTCTCGAAAAAGCGAAACAATACGCGAGTGGCTATCGGAACGCTCGAGTCGACACGCTTTTAAAAGTGTGACGACCTTCGAGCACGGCCTATCTTGGTCACGATTGCCGTGAAAATGAGGCGACCGAGCGCGTAATAAAATTGTTTTGCAGGTAATCGCTCTTTTCCTCGGCGTCGATGAATTTACGATTTTATCGCGGGAAAGGTGTCGTATTTATGTCGTGGCACGTGACTTCGCGATAGTCTTTCTTGCCTTTCATCGTTGCGTCACAATGGCGGAACAGCTAGTGGTACATCTCCCATTTGGTACCCTAACCTTTCGCTCGCGGGAATTCGCGGTATAAATTTCTCTGCTTTTCCCCTAATCGCTGAATCCTTATTATACTCCGGGAATATTTGCGGTCTACTTAGTGTCATTTGTCATCGATAATCAGTTCGGTTGTCGATTCGCATTGGAGCCCCGGTACGCGGAGGATGGCGTTAATTGGAGGAAGAGCTCGGTAGCGATTGGAAGTGTGAACAGAAGAATGCAAATCAGTATCCGCAACATAGTGCGAGCATAATCGGCATATCAGACCGAGGACAGTCCAAGAGGAGGATGTCGCAATTCGCGTTGCAAGGTGATACGCTTCGTCGTTTTTCTATTCTCGCACGTCGGCTGTCATTCTAGACACCGCTCATTGTCGCCCAGACAATGGCTGTTTTGAATAAGAAACGGGGAGATTCGCGATAACGCGATTGCAGAATGCGGCAGAAAAATCGGGACGTGCAATTGCACCCGGTAGACCTGACGTAACAGTGGTCATTGACGCTGCCGAGGTGTCGTGACATTACCTAGACTACGAGGAGGCTTCCACTGAGAGATTGATTTAAAACAGGCCTCACTTCCTTGCCGATTCGTGTCTTATAAGATCTGGAAATCTTTTAGCCAAAGACTCGAGAAAATTAACATTGACCACCATCGAAAATAGGAAAGATTCCAGTTTTAAATAATATTATCTATATGGCTAGTACTGGAAGTTCCAGTGCAAATAACGAAAGTATGACATAACGTAGGAAGCTTCGAAATATATTCCAAAGAGATTAGAATCTCGCACGATAATAAATAACAAATAGAGTGAGTAGAAGAGACACGGAAAGCGGAAATATGTAAAGAAGAATTATCGTTTGGAGCAACGTGACTGCTCCGCTTTCGATCCCCGGTGTTGAAGATACAGAGGATAACTCGCAGGTACGGCGAGCTTGCGAGGCAGGTGAAATGTGTCTCGCAACAAGGACACGGGCTATGTACTTGCACGAAGCTACGTGCCCGAGGAACTTGATAGCCGGTTTAGCGTGTTTCGCGTGGTGTCATGGCTCGTGTGTGTGGAAACCTGGCCCAAGAAGTAGGGGCGAAGAGGGAAGAGACCAGGCCGAGATTAAACAATTGACTGGCGTGATAACGAGGGCACTTCCCGCCACTAAACTCATCCTGTCGTGTCGTCTAACCTACGGCTCTCTGAATCCACTTAATCCTCTACTCGTCCATCTGCCCTTCAGCCATCGCGTGTTGCATCATAACGTGGAGATACCACGACGTACACCTCGCTATGGATTACCTTGGCTCGAGGTATCGTTCAGAACAGCCGAACAGCTTGGACACGCGAGACGTGTGCAGTATTTCAGGAAACGGAAGCTAGCCTTTTCGAAGATCGTCAGAATCCTGTCAGGAATATCGTCAGAGTACAGAAGAGGATCGAATTGTTGACCGTTGGCAGAGATTTGTTTTGGAATGCGAGGCATCCGACTGGCTCGGCTCGCGGTGTTGTTCTCCCGAGGAGAATCGCGGGCTTAAATTGAATGAAAGGGATAATTCCTTTTAGCTTATCGCCATTAAGATCGTTCTGCCGTGTCATTTAACTGACGATTTCCGGGCTCGTTTAAACCCATCTCGCTGGTGCAGGTTCGCATCAGCCAGGCGCGTACCGATCGTAAGTCGCCACGAAGTTTACGCGATCCTCAGCCAAAGTACCTACGTGTAACCACTCGTGGGAGACACAGCGTGCGACGGGAATCAATAGGATTTAACTACCAGCCGATAGAACGTCTTTCAAACGCCAGACACCGCTTGACCTTTCCACTCGGAAAGTCTCGCTATCGTTGGAACTTGAGCATTTCCAATCGTATCTCCGACTCGGCTGACGTAGACCTCGCTATCTGCATAAGGGACTCCGTGGTCAAGACCGGTACCGATATTATCGCGCTGATTTCAAACCCATTCGCGATCTATTTATAATCCATGCGTAATAGACTCGACGACTATCGAAATAACAGAACATCGAGTACGTATGACTCACATGCGAGTCGTCGTGATTCTATTAATCAGCGATTTCCAAGCGATTCGATTCGAATAGGATCATCACAGGGGTTCTTTCTTTCATCCGACGAAAGAGGAGAGACAGAGATGAAAGAGTCCAGGGGTAGTAAGAGGGAAAGAAAGGGAAAGGAAGAGAAAGACACTTGGGCAGAACCGGGCCGGATACTGGTCGCTTAGGCAAACTTGAGCCAACGGCGCATATGTATGAAAACTACGCGGCATGACGTCTTTGTGTCCCAGTTAGAACAATTTAGAAGCCTAGTCTACGGTGAAGTCGAGCTGTTTTAAGAGGCCACGATCGTTGCAAATCGCCCCGGGAGTAATTGATCCTCCTCTAAGGCAATTTGCCGCTGCGGATTCTAAAGCTTCTCGCTGGTTTCGTCGCGGTTCATCGATAGCGAAACGGAAGCTCATCGATTAAGCTGTCAGGGATTTTTGCCCTTTCTACATCCCGCCTCACGCTGCTGACGCAAACGGCATACATGTCGTCGGAGCGGTTAATGGACTAGCCGGGGGTCGTCGATTGATTTAATGCAACTGCTAGCAAGACCGATGGTCCGCGTTCGCTCACCTACACTTGTTCCTGAGGACCACTGTCGCTAGGATGATGGTTCGTCTTGGATGAATCGACGTGCAACGGTTCCTGCCGAGCCGGAGACACCTTCGGGATCGTTGATTCGATGTTTATCACGTGGTGATCGTCGTCGCCTAGGACGAAGCTGGTCTTCTTCTGCTGATCCTTGGGCTTGTGATTGTCGCCTAGGCTGGATCTCCTCGAGGAGGGCAGGGGATGAGGCGGAGGTTCACGATACACTTCCGAGTGATCGGCGAACTTGGTATGTCTGAATGGATGAAACGCAAATTAGGATCGCGTCTGTAATGAAACGGAGACTTTGAAAGATCTCTCGAAGAAGATTCACGGACGCGGAAGTCGAGGCTACCTGGGATCTAAATGCAGTCGCGAGGATGATCTTGCAGGCGGAGGATTGATCGCTGGAATCTGATCCATGGTCGTTCTGGAGCTGGATCTCTTGATCACGTCCCTGGACTCGCTCCTCCTGGAATCCAGGGTACACTTGGACGGCTCCCTGTGCATTCTTCTGTCCTCCCTGCTTGCTCCTCTGTTCTTTCTCAACGTCGCGTTGATGTCCTCCAGCACGCGATCGTAGTCCTCCTGGATTTCGGACTCATCCAACGGGTGATTTAAGGAGTGCAACTCGTGGTCCAGATACTGTGCAAAGAATAAGAGTATTCCTTTATCAGGACGCCTGACAGGTCTCGGGATCGAGAAGTCGGGGTTGAGCTATTTTAAACTCGTATTTTTTGAGACTATTTATACGAAATGAACTCAGACAAAGCGTCCTTGGTAAGAAGAGGCGGATTCGCCGAGTCACAGGAGGAAACTCGAGCGTATGCCACGGTTTAAAAAGGAGCAAAATTGACGTACCTCGTTCTGAGTGTAAAATATAGGCTGCTTCAAATCCGTTTGACCACTTTGCATGCTCTCTCGTCTGAGGGAGCCGTCGGGGCCGGTGATCATAACTGGAATCGGAGTCAGTGTCGTCATCGGCACGTTCATGTGCAATCCACCGGTAGAGGATGCCAGGCTGGAACCGGATCCGGTGGTCAAAGAACTGCTCGATGCATCGCGATAATGAGCGAATCCGCTGCTGCTCATACGTTCTGAAACGATCGTGCATAGGAATTCGTTCAGAGTCGGTTCGCGAAAAGTTACATAGCATCCCAGGAATCTGGTTTATCGAGAACGAGTCTGCTTTTTCTCCAACCACTTTATTAAATATTCCTCCTTTTAAATACCCTCTAAATAACGTAGGAATGCAGAATAAAATGGAATCGGAATCGAACGCGTCGGAAGTCGATTTACTCGATTAATCGATTAGCGATAATGGCGAACGATCGATCGGTCACCGGTTTGCCCGAGCGAATAATGGAACTACGATTTGGTTCTTTTCTTGGTTCAAGGTTCAGACAATTGGCACCGGTCGGTGCCACAGAGACAAGTGGAGTGCCAGATTTGCGACTCGTGGCAAAAGCTACGATGCATAGTGATACTGTGTAAAGGATAGTTCGCGTCGCGATGCGCCTCGTGTCTCCACTAGTATGGTCGCAGATTCGATAAACTTGATTCGTGTTAATCGAGGTCAATCACATTTCTCCGACAGTGCGATGGTCGATAAGATAGAGGTCCGTGTTTTATTATCTCCGACGACGTCTCTAAGGGCTCTTATCTTTATCGCCGGCTAACGAACTCGGGGATTCATGCTTGTTAGGAGTTTGCGGGAGTTTGCGAGAGTTTGCTCGTACCTCCTTTCGCCCGTTGCATCGCCCTGATCTTGTCCAGATCGGCAGCCGAACATAATGGCGTATCCACCTCGTAGGTGTTATTGAACAGGGTGTAGTTCACTTCGTACTCTCCCGTCTCCTTCTTGAACGTGATTATATGTTCGAACCTGTGTCCCCATAAAATTTCGGACGGCAGGTAGGAGCTTCTAGCCTGAGTGGTCATGCCGGTCGATTCGATGACACCTGAAACAATCGTGAAAGTCGTTTGTCCTTCTGATCCAGCGTTTACCTCTCTTTCAAATCACCTTCCAATATCACCACGATCTCGAATCGTTCCCGCAGCATATCGCTGGCCGATATGTGATAAAGAGGAGAATGTTCGTCGATCTTGTGAACGATCGTGGTTGGCCAAATAAAGAATATCTTGTCCTCCTCGCCATCTCCGCCCACTTTCAGTTCCGTTTGGAAGAACGGCAACAGTTCCCCTTCCCTGGTAACCTGAAAGTTTCGCAGACGCCTTCAGATCATTAATTATACCATTGATGAGAGATAAGAGCAACAATTGGGTCACGTCGAGATGTAGACTAGCTTGGAATACCGAATGAATCTATCCGGTAGACCCCGCGAGCGTGATAGCTCTGACAAGTAACATCTCCACTAGACAGACTCACCTTTCTTTTGATCATCTGCGCTCTGACGTGAGCCTCGATGATGTGACTCTTCCTCATGTCACCGACCCGGAACATTAAACAAGGTTGGCCGTCCCTCTGACAGATCACGGCGTTCCTCGAAAACAGCAGTGTCTGTGTTCTCTTCTTTGGCCGGGAGAGTTTCGCGAAAACTATGCCGACCATGAAGGCCTGCAGGATCACACCTGTCATTGACTGGATACATATCACGAACACTGCCTCTGGACATTCGTCTGTTGGGTGCTTTGACCCGTACCTACGATATTTATCTTCGTTAGAGTCGTTTTCTACCGAAGCTCCATCGAGTGTCAGAAAAATGGTAAAACTGAAGACAGGAGTCCAGTGTAGGAGAAATTATAATTACATATTCCAAACATTGCGTTAGGCTCAAGCTTAGGGCACCCAGTGGCGGAATTTCGTGGAACCTTCGACAAACCTTCGCGGACAAATGTCAACATCGTGACAAAAATTGACTTCATTTTCTATTTACAGAATCGTTTCCTTTATATTTTATTCGTTACATTTCGACTTGTACTTTTCCTCTACCATCTCGCCCACGAAGTGTCAAACACGATCACAGCGGTATTCCAAACTCGGTCCTGGAATCACCCTCGAGTCGTCCAGACGTTGATCCCTCTCTTGACCTCGAGAAACTTTTGGACAGCTTGGAAGACATCGCGGACCAGACTCTCGAGGATTACAGAGCCTCCCGGAGCTGGAAACGGTCAATGGATCTTGGAACGATCTCAGAGCAATTACCGATAAATTCGCGACTTCGGATGTAACCTATAAACGAATTCGTGACCTTTTGATACCCCTGTTCGCAAGATTTACGGTCTCTGGACGACTGAAGGATGGTTCCACGATCCGGGGGCCACTCGTAGCTGGGACCAAAGCTTAACGTGATCCAAACTGACTAGGTCAGTTCCATTACCCTGGCAGTCGCAATGCTTAGAAGGACAGTGTAATCCGATGTGATACCTTATGAAAGTTACGTAATACCTCGTATGTACGATTTTTAATAACATGCACGGTCACCGAATGTCTCCATGAGTTCGTTCGCAATTCTCTTCTCGTTCGTTAGATTTCTAAGAAAACGACCGACCATCGCAATCAGGCCCACGCTATCGCACGACCGTTTATGTCAACTAATTAATCGAGGGGGGGGTATACCTCTTCCAAATCGGCCGTGTAGTTAATAGCGTCTGAAATTCGTTCGAATCACTGATCCGACATAAATTATGCAGGATAATAGAAGTAATTAGTCACCCGATCGTGTGCTGCGTCTCGATGGAGAATAAAAAGGAGCTGGTGAATCCACGAATGTCCACGATGCACGGGGTGAACGTCAAGTTTGGATTGGTGTAATTCTCTGGATCGAGGTCGCCATGGCTGTACGCTATGAGCCACCATATCAGGGCGAAACCTAGCCACGAGAGCAAGAAGTTCATGGAGAACACCAGAAGCGTCCAGCGCCATTGTGCGTCGACCAGTGTCGTGAAAATGTCCTGAAGAAGAATTTGCATACATATATATCCACCCCTACTGTTGAAAAACGTAATCGTCTCATGCATCGATCCGCGGGAATCGATAATAAACGCGGAGATCGTCTAGCATAGCTACCCGCTGCCAACGCTTCAAAGAGGCTTGTATAAACGTTTCACTGGGCCATTTTCATAAGAAGGAGACCATTTGGAGAGTCGTGAAAGTTTAACAATCGAGCTAATTTTATCGCACGCGAGAAATAAACGTTTCTAGAGAATCGGAAATATAGAAGTTACATCAAAGTGTCAACTATAGGACGGGGACGATTTGGCAAGTAATTGCGGTCGCGAAATAGATGGAGACAAATCAAGTTCGCCTTCCTGGTGCTGAATGAAGCGACCGTTTGCAACGGATTGGTAGACAAAAGAGCAGGCGTAAGACGGGCTTGTAGCGCGATCGCTAACTGTCTCTGGCGAAAATTTGTGAAATCGCCTTGGATGTCGCATCGGTTCCCGCGGACGCGAAACCGCGACAGACGCTTTTAGAAATACTTTAAAATTACCTGAAGGTAACGGCGCCGTCGCTTGGCGACATTTCCTTGTACGACATTGCAATCGCCGTGCTTGAAAACCACCCTCTTGCGTATCCTTCGCGAGCTGAATCTGGTCTGTCGATATCTGAAAGCAGAGCGCACCCTCAGTGTCTTGAGATCGTGCAGTCGGAGAATTCCATCGAGATATCGGGAAACCAGAAATAATCGCGTTAAATCATCCTCGTTACGTATCCCGTTTAATTCGATCTTCAGCTGTTCGATTAGAGGCTTAAACATCCAGGCTATTTCTGCTCCGAAATTTTCTCTCCTACGAGTAGCCTCTATTCTAAATCAGGCCCTGGTTCCCCGAGGTCACTGACATCCCTCGCTCTTTTTTCACCGAGTTCGCACGAGGATCAGTCTAATCGCGCGAACACCTGATCGAAAGAAATCGTTCGAGAGTGTCGCGTTTCGCTTGGAACGGAAAACGAGACGCCAGCACGCCTCCCACGGCTTCTCTAAAGGCCGTTTAAAACGGTCGTGTGGTCTGCTCCGAAATATACTGAGGCTAATGCCAAAGGACATAATTTACCGTCGAACAGCTTTACTTCGCGCCAGGATGGACCGATCGAGGGCAATCTGCCAGAGAATCGACAGACGAACGAGTCCTGATCATCTTCCGCCTCCACGTGAATCACCTGTGCCCTAATCACGCACCTCTATAGTCCCCAGCTAAAGATTAATAACTCCAATCGTCCGTATGAAACTCCGAATATCCAAAAATGTATAAAATCCAGTTCAAAATTCGATTACCAGCGCGGGATAATTAAAATCGCAGCTTGGAAACGAGATACTCGACCGTGACATTCGAGACGTCTCTGGGTAATTCATTTTTCGAGCTATTTTTCGAGAAGGTGGCAGAGATTCGCGAGAGACGTTGCGTTTTGTTTGTCCTCAGTTATATTTTCGGATAGTTCTCGTATCCTCGCGGTTACTTAGAAAAGTTCTCCCGCGGATTCCACTTTTCTCCGGAATCGATACATCGGCTCTGGAACCGGGGTGGAAAATGAAAACGGGAGGAGCAGGATATCGTTTCGCCGGGTTCAATAATCCTACACCGGCTGCCGACAGTTAGCAAACACCGGCGAATTCGATTGCTCGCTAAGTGGTCCTTGCCCGTGGGCTTTTTCGCGGATGTGGAAATAAGTATCGCGAAACCGGAGCCGTCCAAATATTTGTTCGATCCTGTTCTATCTGGGTCACTGACGTTAGCGAAACAGCGAAACGACCCGCTCATATCGCAACCCGGGTCTAACGATCCATGAAAGAGGTCGTCATCCAGCGTATCACTCGACCTATTGTATTTTTACGAGATCGTCCAAGTGAATTTGCAAGTACCACTGCCGGCGCTGACGAATTATTATTTTCGACGAAGCGATTCGAGCGAACACGAGACCACTTCGAACACGGTAAACTAATCGGATGACCCCTTCTAAAGATAACTCTAAGTCTTTTGCTAAAAATACGCCGATTCCGATACTATGCCTGTGGAAAGCCTTCCCAGCAGCTATTCGCCAGCTTCCTTCGTCAAATCCCATTACGATTCGCGTTTCGAGAAAGGTTCCTGGCTCTTCGACATCTCCATCTTGGAGTCGAGGATGAGGAGGAAGAGTTCGGACTAGACAAGAAGGATTAGTCAGAGCTGATAGATGAGGATCTATTGCGAGTTTCGATAGAGAACGAGATGACACGAATAAATTCGGATAAAATTTTGCAAAATGGAGAGCAGAGTAGGGCAATTTGGCAAGTAATAGCGCTGGGGTATAGATGGATGTTTCTCGCGACGATGAAGGAAGCTGATTCGTTGTAACGCTTGGAAAAGAAATAGAAGCTCTGGGCCTCGATGATACCAGATTTTATAATTAGAGCAATATCTCGATGGTATTAATACTATCGCGGAACCCTACGATAGCGATGAAGTCAGGGCATCTTTGACAACTCGATTATGTTCCTCAGTCTTGAACAAAGTTAAACATACACCCCAATCGAAAAATTTGTCACGATAATTTCAAATTCAAAGCTTCGAAACTGCAAATTTGCGAAACCCTACGATAACAGTAAAGTCAGGGCATTTTTGACAATTCGATTATGGTCCTCAGTCTCAAACAAAATTAAACATCTCAATCGACTAATTTTTCACGATCATTTTAAATTTAAAGCTTCGAAACTGCAAATTTGCTAAACTCTACGATAGCAACGAAGTCAGGTCATTTATGACAATTTGATTATGGTCCTCAGTCTCGAACAAAATTAAACATCTCAATCGAATTACTTTTTACGATAATTTTAAATTTAAAGCTTCGAAACTGCAAATTTGCTAAACTCTACGATGACAACGAAGTTAGGGCATTTTTGACAACACGATTATGGTTCTCAGTCTCGAACAAAATTAAACATCTCAATCGAATTACTTTTTAGGGTAATTTTAAATTTAAAGCTTTGCAACTGCAAATTTGCGAACTCGTGAAACTGCATAAATAAGGAAGATTGAAAAATTCCAATTGGGATCTTAATATTCCCCTGAAATTCGCGGTAAACGTCTCGTCGAACGTCATCAAACGCTCGCAAATCGCAAACAATTTTCCTAATTATCGCGAACCCTGGAACTTTCTGGAATCGGTGCTAGCCGAGTAATTCGAATGAATTCCAAGTTTGCCGGCCTTAATTAAGCAACTTTCGCGAAGGGAGAAAATCTGCGTGGTGATCCAGGATTTCCGGGGTGACGCTGCGAATTCCAGCGACAGCCGGCAGACGACACGCGTGTTCCCGTCTGCTCGAATTCGTCAGAAATAAGCGCGACCATGAGGAACTCGGGAAATTCGCTAGACGGTGTGAAGATTTAGAAACCACTCGCGTGTTTAGTCGGACGTGGCGTTGCGTAGTCACGGATTATCGCGATTCTCGTAGGAAAGGCGCTAAAGTTGTTGGCAATGTCCATGAATACCCACACGTTCTCTTTGAACTTGTCTTTCCTCGCCCCTGATCGACCCTGTCACGAGTCGGACAATTTTCATCGTCCAATCGTCGCGTCTGCTCGTCGTCAGACCGGTACCCGAACACAGCCGGCGAGCTTAGGCCAGGATGTTTGTCTTCGAGGAACCAGGCTGTGACGACGAGCTCGTTTGCTTTGTTTTCTCGCCTCGTCGACAGAGGTGTCCTTAAAAAAAAAGTTCTACTTATACCGCCAGTCAACCTGACGTTTTGCCAATTCTCGCGTCGACCCTCGAACAGGGGAAACCGATTTTTCACTTTTCCCGACGCATCTTCGAGACTTGGAGAGGTAAAAATAGCTCGACAGATGGCGAAGAGGAGTTATGCGAAAATAAAAGCTTCGTAGATGACCGGAACTGGTCTCGAATAGGTGTTCCAACTTCCGGGGTCGCGTGGAACGGTGTGTCTCATCGATCGGGCTTTTGGTTCTGGTTTTCGCGAAGTTCGAAGGGACCTAGACCGCGGTTCGATTTGGCTTGGTTCGTCCGTCTGGCAAACGACGTTCTAAATTCGTGTGGTTCGGTTCAGTTTCAACCCTGACATATTGACCCGAGGTAAAAATAGATCAAGACTTCCACACCTGTTCGAACTGCGATCACTAGTGAAGCTGGAAAACGCGAGAGATTTTCTCCTCGCGCGAGAAACGAGACAAATTACGCGCGGCAGGAACCACTTCAACTCGAACACTTTTGACCTTGTAGCTCATCCAGCTCATCCACGTAATTATAAGGAAAAACAAATTTTAATTCCAGGCAAGGATATTCAATCCCTGGTTGCTTTCTTCGCTAGCTTCCTGTTTGCTTGGCAGCCGAGGAAAATTGCTGCCTCGCAAAGTAGAAGATGGACGTAATTTCGGGTTGCGTCTAATTCACCTGCTCCCGCGAGGTAATCAGAGAGTACATTAAGACAAAGACGCGGATAAAACAGGATATTAACGGTTGCAACGGGTAATTGATTGCTAGAACGATCGATTAGGAAACGCAGAGTTTGCACAAGGTTTCGAAAGGCCGGCCCACGCGGCTGGTAAAACGGAGCGATTTAGAGCAGACGAGAAAGTGCCTGTGATTATGATAACTAGCCGCAATAAACGTAATGATATAAACCGTTCAGAGAGATTGTTGTTTAAAGAATGTTACCGCCGAGATGGTACGAGCGTTAACTCGACTATTGGAAGTCGTCCTTGATTCGGACTCTTCCATCTTGATTTCGAGACGTTGCACCAGACAATGATGGCCATTGTGTACCGTTTTCACCAAGCGATGCGCGACGCGTCGTGCGTCGGGCTTAAAAGAAAATCCTCGAGGACATCGCGATGTCTAGGAGACGAAGCATTTTTCCACGTTTTTCCCGCATTTTTCTCGCATTTTTCCCTCACATTTCCGACCGTTTTATTTTATCGTCCACTACTTATCGCAACTCGCGTCACGATAGAAGTTCTCCCCGATGCATTCTCGATTTTCTTAATCAACGGTCATTATCTCCGTTACGCAATAAAATGGCAAGAAACGACATACTTTTGTAGCTCCTCCCTCCAAGCAGTTTCCCCCGACGTGGTCGCTTTAACGACCAGCATCGACACTTGAGACAGAGCTCTTCGTAGACCGGATAACGCCATTCCCTCGCCCAAGTGGATCTTTCCGGATCCTGAGGAACTCGGTGAAAGTGTTTTCGACGTCGAGCCATCCATTCTCCGCCTTCCACGACCTCCGTCCCCCCGATTCTTCAGAGGCACACGCCAGTTTTATCTCTCACGCGATCCGCGCACATGATCCGTCACCACCAGTCACCGATTAATCGACCATTAATCCACGATTAATCCGTCAGACGAATCTCATCGTGTCTTTTCTTCCCTCTTCTCTCTACACCCTGTCTCCTCTGTTACAAAGTCGCCGATGAAAGGTCGGTGATCGTAAAAATAAATGCTTGTAAATCTAGTCACGCGTGGACTCTGCTATTCTATTTAGGGCTAGCTACTCGCGATAAGCGTTATAAATAAAAGGAAAGAAAAAGAGGAAAGAAAAGAAGGAAAAGGTTGTGGTTGCTCGAACAACGACGGCTGTCAAACACGCTTAGAACCCGACTCGTATTTCGGCTCGAGTTGCAGCGGAATTTCGGCGTCTAAGTTTAAGCCTCGTCGAGCGGGGCCGAGAACCGCACTAGCGGATGCTCTTAAGGCACAACGGATAAAGAACTCATCGTCAGAGCCAAATATCGCAGCCTGTCCAGAGCCACTGGAAAATCCAGATCAGCCTTTTGCACCACATCCGTCGATCCACGATCTCGCCGCGTCTTCCTTGCCCCGGGATCCCACCGGGTCACCACTTCGATCTTCTCGCGCACACGCCACCCCTCACCTTCGCACCTCACTGGATCACTCTGCTCCCAACTATGTCTTCATAACTATCCCTCGACCTTCCCGCACCGGGACTCTTCTCGTCTCTCCTTCAACCGCCAACTCGTCATTCTTGATCTCTCTCTTCGCACGGCTATTCCTTCTTCTGCGTCTTCTTCTCCTTTTTTCTCGGTTTCGAGGAAGAGAAGCACGATTTCTGGAGTAACTTTCACGAGGCGGCGGCCACTGATTTACGCACTTTGCGGACTATTTATAAGAGCGACGCGTCACCGGGTGAAATCATTGAAAAAAATCCAAGGCAGCGCGGAAGAATAAAAGGGGCGCTGGCGATCACGGACAGAGCCGGCGGGGGTTCGTTCAATTAACGGGTTCGTTTACGAACCGAGGCTCGGCCGACACTGAGGCGATCCAATTTTGACCCTTGCGTACGATTTCCCTTTTGTCTTCGCACGCCAGTTTGGCACCGCTCTCCGATCCGACAGATTCGTTCCATTCGCTAGAGATGGAGCCTCGATGACAAGCGACACAGCCGCCACGAGTCGTTGCACCGATGCATCCGGTGCATCGTGTCTCTGTCGCGCGATTTTCGCTCGAGCTTTTGGATTCGCGGCTTACGCGGGAATGGCGGCTTCTCGTGACTCCGTGGCTTCGATAGGCCGCAGGCTTTCGAGCTTCGCTCACCAACCTGGCAGTCTCTATTAGGATGTCCGCGTATGAAGGATATCGAAATTGTAACACCGAATGGTCCGAGGTTTGTCGTCAGCCATTCGCGTATAATTCCTCCTAAATTGGGATCTTTTTGACGAATATGAAGGTGTTGGAACCCGGATTTCGATATACAACACGGGTTCTAGCAACAAGGCTACGTTGGAAAAATATAAGTCGGTGGAGAGGAAAAAGACAAAACAGAAATTGAAACTGGAACTGACTGAAGTGACTACTGAACTGACAACTATACCGAAACTGTCCTTTCGCAAATTTTGTCGGCGCTAATACAATGTTAGTTTTTTGGGGGGGGAGGGGGTGAAGATGACCATTAGCCCTTAGTGAAAGTGAGAAAGAGTCAATTGTTTTTGGACTCTGAAATAGGTCTGTGTTTATCAGCCAGTCCTTCTAGTGACTAAGGGCCAACGAATCGTTAGTCATCCAACTAAAGGTTCTTGCTAGTCCAACTGATAGGCAAACTAGGTAGCCTCTCCTATCCTCAGATCCCACGTGGAACCTGTGTCACGAATTCTAAAGACTGTCCTAATCGCCTATCGAATTCTCTCGTTCACGATCTAGGTACCTGTTGATCTCTCCATTTTGGTGCTCGAACGAAATATCTATTCCATCTTCTTCTCTAACATAGTTAATAACGAGTTAGAATCAAGACCAGACCACGAGGATCCATCGAGAGTGGTGGAAAATTAATTAAGCTAATCCTCGCATAGCCTATAGAATAACCCCCCCAAGATCCAAGGCAATGTCAGTCCCTTTGTCTTTATCCGTGAGATTAAAATTCTGCGAGTTATAAGAGAGATGCTCTCGCTGTCTGTCGCGTTGGAGGATTAGTCTGCAGAGGTCGAAAGAGACGTATCTGACGTGAAAGCAGCGGATGGAACGAATGGACGGAACTGTACTTAACAAACATCTCCGTTGCCCCCGACGAAACGTAAAGGTTTTTATCTTGCACGCGCAGACACGGAGCGACGCCGGCGTCGGGAATCCCTGCTTCCCGGCGAGGCGTCTTCCGCAATTAGGCGCGTCTATTCTCGTCGCGAAAAGCAGGATTTCTGCCGATCGTGGCAGGGAAACGGGAACGACGCTATTTTCGCGGGGTCGCGAGCCACGTATTGTGATCCAGTTTTCACGGCGACGTTGCGTGTATTTTCGACAGCGTTCGCCGAAAATCGCGCCGGTTCTTTGACGCAATTATCGCGCTTCTCCGATGGATCCTCGGGGAATCGGTTCCAGATGGATTCCCAGCTGCCTTCCACGCCGTCAATTATTTTTATTTGACGGGTTCGATTCCGAAAGATCGACGGCGAGCAAATTACGCCAACTTTTCGAGCACTCGATGAGAAGATCATCGTCTCCTTTATTCCTCATTTCTCTCAATTTATCCTTCGTCGGTGCTATATACTCCCCTTCCGAGAGATTATTCTACCAATTTGTTATTTTATCGAAATTTCGCGATTTTCTTTAAGTATTTCGGAGTCCCAGATCGTAAACGATAAACGAGACTTTAGGGAGAATTTTGAGTTAATTTTAATTTATTTTCTAAATTTTTGATCTTCAATTGTTGATTTCGCGGATATTTCGCGGCTTCGCGAAGAATCGAGAAGACCGTGGAAAGAATTTGTCAGTTGGTGTTCATCTTCGTGACAGGAAGTTACGACAATGCCCGTTGAGCTTTCGTCGAGTGAAATATCAGAGTACTTACAGAAACTGGAGGAAAATGAAAATGTTTCCTTGCCCAGACAAAATGAATGTCCGCATACCTCGAGTTCGAATCAAAACTACCTATTCGGATACGTTGCTATTATTTCTTTAGTACGACTCAAGAAAATCGAGCAAATTATCAATACATGTGAGCACCGACCAATCGTGGGTCTGTTGACTTATCGACCATTAAGCGTTTAACTTAAACGTGGTATTAAACAAATGATTAACAACGGTGCAAGTATGCACGTTCAAGTTCACTTAAGAGTATACTCCTACAAATTTTTGCAACTCCTAAAGGAACATAGAACATGGAATAATTATAATTAACGCATTGCACGCTGGTAACATTTTCGCAAAATGTCGCGTTGAATGTATATATTTCCAGAAAACGTATCTATCTAGGTTTCTACGAAATTCCAAAATCATGGTCAAATGGATAATAACCTATAAAGTATATGTATACACGTACAATGCGTTGATACTCGAATTATAAAGAATTATTGCATAATAATTAATAAAATATAAAGGAAGAGCACCTGCTCAGTAGAGGACCAGTCTCTCCCTTGAAACTGAAAAAAACCTGCTGAAGGTCCTTCTCTGGAAATTGCTGAGAATCCCGCGCTTCTGCTTCTCGATGTTGCCCCTTCCGGTCTCGTCCGCGGAGTCATCGCACACTTTTACTGCAACCGTTGCCGCAGGAACCGTCGAGTTCACGAGTAACTCTTCCAGTGGCACTGTGTTGTTCTCTATGGCGATCGTATGCTCGTCCGATTCCTCGTTGGTTCCTTCTTTCGTGAGAGAACCCAGTTCGGTCATTAGCATTTCGTTCGACGATCTCGATTCGCCTCCCGTGTCTCTTTTCTTCTCTTATTTTCGACACAGAGGACCTCGTCTCGTCGATCGGCCTTCTCTCACTCGAAAATCGCATGCAACTTTTCCACCTCTTCCATCCTCTCGATTACGGGGGACAATTCGGTTTTACGAGGCGATTTCTCGGACACGCGAATCGAAAGTTTAGTTAAAACGAAGAACAAAGTTTCTACGACGATTTCTCGCTGTCGTATCGATTCATAGACCGCGAGTACAGCGATAATTCGAACGCGTCGATGGAGTTTACGAATCGGCTCGCGCGAATCGCTTCTGTCCAACGAAATTGGACGCCAGCTGCGTCGAATTATTTCTCCATTTCGCCACGTACTTCCTAATCACGAACCGCGATGATACTCGGTGCTGTGGTAAACGAGGAACACCGTCGGTCACGGCTCATGTGCAGGCACCATCGACGGAAGCATGGCGAGGCTCGCTGGCGAAGAGTCGAAAGCGCTCCGTCAAAGGACGTTCCTCCGTTTGCGATGCAGAACGAACACTTGTAAATTCACACGAACGTTCAAAGTTCCACGACCACGTCCACGCATTGTACGATTTCTCGTACAACCGCGACCGAACATGCTATCGTTTATTCTCGTCCCGTTTCGTCATCGTTATCACTTTTCCGCATCCGCCGACCATGATGACCACGATACCGCGTCCCCTACTCTCCTACTCGCGCCTGCACCAACGACTGTCGTGGAAAAAAGCGCGAAAAACAAAATCGCCAAGCCGACGAATCCTCCCGACTCCTCTACCTTCGACCTCCGCTCCGACTCTACTTATACAACCGGTCCGAGCTTCCTCTTCGTCACGACTCGACGTAGACGCGTCGCTGCGACAAGCGTATTTGTCCAGTCGTCGAGGCTTCCGCGCGCGGATTGCACGCTATTTCCAGCCACCGGGTACACGGGTCCGGCTGGCGATCATCCTCGCGCGGAGGACCATTCATAATTCCCCGCGACTCCGTTCTCCTCCGTTCCAGCGACGTCTCTTCCGTTTCTCCGACGTCTCGCCGTGCACCTGCGACGCGTGATCCACGTCCGAACCACGTCCAGGCCGCGTTGCATAAGAATTGCCTCGCGTGTCACGCCATTTCGTTCGTCAATCACGAGCGTGTCCGCCGCGACGCTCGCGGAGGCTCTAGGAATCGTGGATCGTCGATCCCGCCGTCGAAGCACTGGCCGATCGGTGGCTCGAGGCCGGCGAAAACTCGCTCGGAACCTGTCAACGCGAGAACCACTTCTGAGATTGCGTGCGCCGCGGTATAAGCGAAAATAATCCACGCACACGAGCGCGCGCGTGCGAATACTCACGGGCACCCACACTAGTTTCCGCTCCGTTCAGCTGCTTCGCCGGTATTTGTCCAGTGTGTTGCTTCGCGACGCGTATCGATGTGTGTGCAAAGGTATGCGCGAGCGCTGCTATCAAACGGTGAATATTCGCGCGTGTGTGTGTGTGGGAAAACGCGTCACACAAGCGGTCCGAATGGAAATAGAGCCGTGTGCGAGCGTTCTGGCGGTAGAAGGACTTGACATGTGGGCAGAGCCAGAGATAAGATTATGCGAAGCCGCGCTAGTCCATGGTTATCGCGTGAATTTTTATCGCAACCGTCCCCTGAATACCTTTTTCCCGCCTCGACCAAGCTCGATTACGTGTGTCGGGCTTTCACGCTGCACAGGTCGAGGATGTAGGTTTTGGTCGGATGAGGGGGGGATCTTAATACCACTGCGTGGGTATCGTTGGCAGGAACAATTGGATTGCTGTAAGGACATATTTTCATAACTTCTGCGTGGTATATACCGCAATGGCGAACGAATAACGTACGACCAACGTACGAGCAACGAATGGCGCACTCGGAATGGAGTACCCCAGAGAGAATTCTGGCGAACGGTCTTCGCGATTGCATCGCCACGCCAATCGACTTTTGTTCGGTGTCCAGGGAAAAGCAACGATATCTGTTTGCGAAAGCTTGCCGGTCGTCACAACGGGCGACTTTGTACTCCGCAGTTAACACGTGTGTTCCCGGGTCAGTTCTCAGGGACGGGGTCTGTCGGCTCGTTGGGCTTTCTTGGCAAACGGCGCCAG